ACAACACTGCCCCATTTTTAAAATTGGGTCTTTTTTTTTTTTTTTTGCTATTTACTTGTGTGAGTCCCTATATATTTTTGATATTAGCCTTTTATCAGAAACATGGTTTACAAATAGTTTCCCCTATTCCATAGGTTGCATTTTCATTTTCTTCATTTTTTCCTTTGCTGTGCAAAAGCTGTCTAGTTTGTTGTAGTCTTGTTTATTTTTGGTTTTGTTGCTTGTACCTGTGGTATCATATTTTTTTTAAAAATGATTTCCAAGAACAATGTCAAAGGACTTTCCCTATTTTTTATGAGTTTTACAGTTTCAGTTCTTATGTTTTAGTGCTCTATCCATTCTGACTTGATCATTCTGTGTGTTAAGACAGAAGGGTCTAATTTTATTTGCACATGGATATCCAGCTTTCCTGACGCCAATTATTGAAGAGACTACCCTTTCTCCATTGTACATTCTTGTTACCTTTGTTGAAAATTAGTTGGGCATAGATGCTAACACGTGATCCAGGAATTGCACTTTTGGGTGTACATCCAAAGGGAATAAAACCACAGTCTCTGAGAGATATCTGGACCACTTAAAGTAGCCAAGATATGAAAACAACTTAAGTGCCCATTGACAAATGAATAAAGAAAATGTGATGTGTGTATACCTGTGTGTGAATGTTCATCTTTTAAAAAGGAAGTCCTGTCACTGAAAACAAGAGGGCATAATTCTGAAATAAGCCAGACACAGCGAGAAAAGTACTGCGTGATCTTGCTTGTATGTGGTGTCTAAAAAAAAAAAAAAGATGGCCTGCATGTAACTAGCTGGTAGAACTCTTACTTAGCATGTGCAAAATTCTGAGTTCCATCCCCAGCACCACAGGAAAGAAAAGTCAGGTTCATAGTAATGGAGAGCAGAATAGTGGTTATAGAGGGCCAGAGGTGTCGGCCATGATGAATGAGCACGGGAGACTGAACTACAGCCTGGTGACTATGTTACCAGAACCAGTGACACTCCAGGGAGGGAGGTCTCCAAAAGGGAGGAGGCCTCCCCTTGGCCCTTGGGCACCGAGTTTGTGATGTTGTCACACACACACACACACACACACACACACACCCAAAGAGATGTCCAGGAAGAGAGCAAGATAAATTACTAGTAAACATAAGAAAGACAGAAACCTGTACCCAGCCCAGACATGGGTGTGGGCACATCTGATAACAGGTGCGACCAGTGCTCTAACATCACAGGTGTTTATGGTGAAAACGCAGGTTGGGGATTTGGCTCAAATCTGTCTTTGGAAAGAGTGCTCCTCTTTGTTCTGACAATGAGCCTATTTTGTCATTTTTGCTGGTACCCTGCTTTATCAGCTGGGCCCAGAGACTTCAGAGGACCCTCCCTTTAAATAGGTGTCATCTTTGTAAATACTTTTTGTACCCGGAGAAGTCATTTTCCCTAGACTTCTTTCCCAGGATGAGTGTCTTTCTTTATGATATCTTTGCTGAGTTCTCAGAGAACACTAATTATTTTGGGGCAAGCGGGCAAAGTCAGAGAGAGCTGCTCTTTCCCCCTTTTTTTCTTTTTTCTTTTTCAGTAAATGTTGCAGCTTGTTGAGGGAGTGTAAAGCTTAAAGCAGAGAAAGCAGTACCTGTGTGTTTTTAATCAAGCTGTCCCTTAGTACAATGCTTATTTGTAAATTCCTCGCTGCCGTTTTCTATGTGTCATACTCCCTCATCCATGCTGCCGCATTTCCCCCCTAAATGACTTTGGTCCCTTAATCTTAAGGGATGTTGATGGGTGGCAGTCAGTCGTCCATAATTGCTTTGAGCAAAGATTAGACACTAAACCTAAGGAAGGACTGGAAGTCATGTCTTATCTGATCTAGAGATGACATGGGAAGTTTAGTTGTCTGTTTGCCAGGACCAGATGACACCAGGCACATCACATGGAGAGATGCAGGGGCGGGAGGACCTGGGGGCCCACAGCTCAAGCCCCAGCGACACCGGCATGATCTCCAGGCACAAGGTAGTGGTTAGCAGGTGCCTGGAACTCAGCCCTGGCCTGAATTACTCTGAGGTGAACAGTCAGGGGTCTGGAGGTTGGGTGGTCACCCATGAACGGGCACAGGAGAGGACTGAGGGCTGGAAATGAGGTGCCTGCTGATGGCCAGGCCCATTAAGAGTGTGGGGAGTCAGTCTGGCTAGATACGGCCCTCATCCTGTGGACAGCCCCTTCTAAGGAGCTGCACCCTTCTAAGGGGGTGAGGCTGGAAAGTGACCACTCCACAGCATCTTCCTCTTCACGGCAAATGAACATTCGCACACGCTCCAAGATTGGGCAACCATAAGTCTAGGAGCGAGTGGAAGCCAGATGTTCAGCAAGACACTTTGGAGGCAGCAGCTGGAGGGAGACTCCACTACAGGTCATCCCATGGCCCATAGCTTGTCCTCGTCCTTATTATCCGTCTGCAGCATGACCTCAATATATGGTTACAAGGCGTGGACTCACATGCATTTACTTTCTGAATAACCTAGAATTAAAACCAAAACCATGTTTCCCTTCAGACCTGGAAGTGCCTATCAATCAAAGCCCAGGAGACACTCCTGCCATAGGGCCACTCTCTGTCCCCTCTGCTCGGCCTCACCCACCAGGATTGGCTCCCGATTGGGTTCCCCCACCTGCTGCCCGAGTCCTCTATGAACCAAGAAGGCAGGAGATGACCTGAGGAGGGGGCTCAACACACCAGAGGCCCAGAAATGCACCTGGGTGGGTCTTCCTGTCTCCAGATAATATCTGCCCAAAGACACCTGAGAGCAGCATGCATCCAAACACAATGTGGAGCTCACACTGGAACATCCCAGGGCTGGACAGGGATGAAGGGGGCAGAGATGGCCCTGCTGGACACCCAGCAGCTGGGGCTTTCCAGAGTCTCACTGCTCAGTGTTGCTGGGGTTGTGACTTGTGCCTCCAGGAACCTTTTCCCACCTCCCTTGTTTGATCCTTCCAGGTCTCAAAACTGAATGCACACAGCATCAGTCACACTCAGTGACACACCAGCTCAGGGATCACAGCGTGCGCAGGCCCACTCTGCCCAAGGCTCCCATGGGCTGACTGGATTAGCCCCTTGCCTGCCCTTTCCCTCCTGTCCTGGCCCCCAAGCGTGGAGGAGCTCTTGGAAAGTGACCAGTTGGCAATGAGACACTGTGTGACCCACACACTGTCTCAAGGGCAACATTCTGCCCACTGTCACACCCCGCCATCCTCAAACGTCCTGTGGTGTGTCGGATGGGGCTGGCCACCTGTGGGTGACTGTCAGGGTCAGCTGAACCCGGTGGGTGGGTGGGTGAGTGAACTCCACCCTCTGCCCTCTTGATTCCTGCAAGCACCTGCCGGCAGAGCCATCTAACCTCATGCCCGGGCCCTTCTGGACCTCTGCCCTAACCTGCTTTGCCTGCCTGGTCTTGCACACGTTGGTCATCCGTCTGGATGCCTTGAGGCCCCTGTCCCCTGCTGCCAGGATCCTGGGGTGGTGTCTGCTGTGTCACACACTGGCTCCCTTCTACGCCTAACCCACTTCTTCCTGGGGGCTTCGTTTGTGCCCTGGGAAGCCAGGCGGCCACTGCTCCCCAAACCCACCAGCATCCTGTCACCTGGCTCCCGCCCACCCAGAGCATCCCACAGCCCCCCACTGAGGGTCCCTTCCCTGCCCATTCCCCAATGTTAACCCGGCCATCATCGCCCCTCCCATCCCAGCAGAGGAGGGACTCAGGGGGAACATCCATGAAATTTATTGCATCAAACATTTGCTGAAACCATGGAAGAGAAGGGGATGACATCACAGACAGGAACTACCCGCGACCACCTGAGACCACAGGTCCCGGGCTCCTGACGAGGTTCCTCATTTGTCCCCCACCCCGGGGCCTTCCTGCCACGTTCTCCTTTCCTGAGGGCCCCAGATCTGCCTCTTGCCAGGACCGTGGCCTCCAGCAATGCCCAGTCACTTTAGGGAAGAGCCCTTCCCAGGGACAAACCGCTGTGAGTTGGTCCTGCCCTATGGATGCACAGGACAGTCACAGGACACTGGAAAGAACAGCAGGGAACACCCCACCAAGCTGAAGAAACTGAGTCACAGGTAACAACAGGAGTGGAACATCAAAACACAGCCTCCCCTCCCCATCTCTGCTCCAGTTCTTTCTAGCTGAGGCCGAAGTCATGGTCTCGGAGTGAGCATCAGCCACTCGCTTGCCATCTACCCTTTCTTTGGGCACCTGGGACAGAATGGTCTCAAGGTTTCTGGGGAGGGACTGCTCAGAAAAGAACTCACACATGTCTACTAGAACAGTCCAAAGGCAGCTGGCCTTGATCTACACTGAGAAAGCAGAGGTTGAGCTCACAACACTGGACAGGAGTGAGCAGAGCCTTGGGTGGCACGGAAGCTCACAGCACGTGCCCGGGTGTGGAGGTGACTGACCGGGTGGGCCAGGACTGCCACCAGGGTTGACACACACACTTTGCACAGGAAGGTTGGCTAGTGTGGGGGTGGCTACTTGCTTGACAGCCAGGTCACTTAAAGGGCTTGCAGATAAGGGTGGGCTTCCCAGGACAGGGAGCAGCCTGCCCAGGAATGCAGGATGGGATGGGGTGGGGTCTCCCTGCTGGGAGAGCCAAGCAGCTGGCACCCTTCAAGTGGCCTCTTTCCCTCTGACTTGTCTCCCAGTCTTGTGTGAGAGGCAGATGTCTTCGGGAGCCCTCATCTAGGCCAGGGCTGGCCCCCTAGGGGCGTTTCCAGGTAGGCTGCCTGACTCGGCAAGGTCTGGAGCTGAGACTGGGGTTGATGTGTCATGGGGCAAGACACTTGTCTCTGCCCCATTTGATGGAAATAGTGGTCATTCTGGACACTTAGAGGGGCTGGGGATGATGGTGGCCCTGGGGACACAGGGGTTTGTTTTGGAGCGGTAGCCCCGGCCCCGCCTCCTTCGTCTTCCAGGGCTCTGTTGCCTGGGAGGAGAGGCATTCTGAGACTATTTGCCTAGAAAGGACTCGGAGTGACTCCTCTCCCCTGCCCCATCCTCGTTTCCCGACTCCTCCAGGATGGCCTGGAGCTCCTCCAGTGTGGGCTCCTCAGTGGCCTCCTGCTCTCCTGCCCTGGTGAGGCTCTCCAGCCCCCAGCCAGGCACCCCTGGGCCTTCCTCAGAAGCCCTGCCCATCTGGGCTGCGGTGGGGCCTCCAGGAGCCTCTGTGGAACCTGCCTGGCTTAGGCCTGCAGAGGCAGAAGCATTGTCTCCTTCCTGGGTGGCAGGGGAGACCTTGGCCTCTTCCGTGCCAGTGCCAGCGCCTGCCTTTGTGGCAGCATCAGCAGCAGGGGTAGCCTCAGCGGGGTGCTCAGGGTCAGGAGCAGGCTCACCGGCATCTTCATTGGCAGGGGAGGCCTGGGAGGTCTCATCAATGGCAGAGGCAGGTTCAGCATCAGCTGCCTGGGCGGCAGCCAGCCCACCAATGTGCGCTTGGGCTCCTTCCTCTCTTCGGGACTGCTCATTCCTAGCCAGGGCCGCCTCCCATACCTCAGTCTCCCGGACAAGCCGCAGCAGCCCCACGAAGCCAGGCAGCCTCCTCTCCAGCTGCATCCTCCTCAGGTTGTTCTGGAGTATCTGGTTCGGCCGGGCCCGCATCAGCACCTGCCGGGCTCGCAGCTGGTCTGCGATAGCTCGGTGGATCGCTCCCTTCTCCCTGGCCATCTGCAGCAGGCCTTCCAGGCGCATCACGTAGGCAAAGAGAGTCTCCCGAGGCCGCTGGGAGCAAGTCAGGAACTTCAGCCTCGCGGACACCTTGGTGTCCTTGTTCCCAAACGCCTGCACGAGCGTGGCCAGGCAGTCCTGTGCAGGGGTGTCCGGATGTTCTTCCAGGAGCCCGCACATGAGATCCAGGGCGGGGCCGCTCAAGCTCTCCACCAGCCTCCTCCTCCTCTCCCTCTCTGATATGTGGCGCCACAGGTACAGCATGTCATTGGCATGGTCCAGCCAGCTCTCGAAGGACTCTGCCTCACGGCCTGGCTCTTGCGTCCCTGAAAAGGTTCTCAGTTCCTGGTAGGCCATGGTTTCCAGTACAGGCTGCAGGGCCTGGCTCCACTGCCGGCTCCATCCTCCTGCCCCAAGTGTCCCTCCTGCTGCCTCAAAGGCGCCTTCCTCCCCTGCAGTCCCTGCCTCCCCTGCAGCTCCTGCCACACCCACAGCTCCTATAACACCCGCAAATCCCATGTCACCTGCAGCTCCCTCCTCATCTGACACTCTGGCCTCACCTGCAGCTTCTGTCTCACCTGCAGTTCCTGCCTCATTTTCACCTTCTGCCTCAGCAGAAGTTTCTTCTTCATCTACAGACCCTCCATCCCCTGTAGCTACTGTATCACCTACAGCATCTGCCTGACAAGAAGCTCCTTCCTGAACTGAAACTTCTGCCACAAGTGGTATTTCTTTATCACCTACATCTCTGTCACCTGTGTCTCCTACTTTGCCTGTGACTTCTTCCACAGCTTCAGCTCCTGCCTCTCCTGCCTCTCCTTGCTTATCTGCAGTTCTTTCATCTGCAGCACCTGTTGGTCCTGCCTCACCCACAGTCCCTAACTCTCTTTCAGCTCCTTCCTCTCCAGATGTTCCTTCCTCATATGAAGCACCTTCCTGAAATGAAACTCCTGCCACACTTGGTAATCCTTTCTCACCTAAGACTTCCTTGCTTGTGTCTATTGCCTCAACTCCAGTATCTTCCTTTTTCTCAGCTCCTTCCTCACCCGTACCTTCTGCCTCACCTTCAGTTCCTTCCTTACCTGCAACTCCTGCCTCACCTGCTGCTCCTTCTTTGCCTGCAGGTCCTTTCTCATCTGGACCTTCTTCTTCATTGGAAAGTATATCTTGAACTGCAGCCCCTGCCTCACCTGCAGCTTCTGCTTCACCTACAGCTCCTTCTTCATCTGCAGATTCGTTTTCTCCTGTAGCTTCTTCTTCACTTCCAAGTCTTTTGTCACTTGCAGCTCCAGAAGCTCGTTCATCAGCTGAATTTCCTAACTGAATTGTACCCCCTGCCACAAGTGCTATTGCTTTCTGATCTATGGCCTCTTTGCCTGTGTCTTCTACCTTACCTGCACTTACTTTCTCTCGTGCAACTCCTGGCTCACCTGCAGTTCCTTCCTCACCTGAAACTCCTTTCTCAATACACTCTCCCGCCTTGCCTACTGCTCTTCCTTGCCTGCAGGACCTTTCTTATTTGCATCCCCTGTCTCCCCTGCATCTCCTGCCTCACCAGCAGCTCCTGTTTCAATTGCAAGTCCTTTCTCACCTGAATGTCCTGCCCCACCTGCAGCTCCTGCCTCATCTGCAGATCCTTTCTCAGCTGCTTCACCTGAATCTCCTACCTCCCAGGTATCACCTGCCTCCTCTGGCGCTCCTGCCTCACTTGCAGGTCCTTTCTCACCTGAATCCCCGGCCTCACCTGCAGCTCCGGATTCACACACAGGTTCTTTCTCATCTGCTTCACCTGTAACTCCTTCCCCCCCTGTATCACCTGCCTCACCTGCAGTTCCTTCCTCACCTGTAGCTCCTGCCTGGACTACTGCTCCTTCCTTGCCTGCAAGTCCTTGCTCACCTTCATCCCACGTCTCCCCTGCATCTCCTGCTTCACCTGCAACTCCTGTTTCACTTGCAGGTCCTTTCTCACCTGATTCCCCTGCCTCACCTGCAGCTCCAGCCTCAACTACAGCTCTGCACTCACCTGCCTCACGTGTAGGTCCTTCCTCCTCTGCATCACCTGCCTGCCCTGAAACACCTGCCTCACCTGTAGCGCCTTCCTCCCCATCACCTGCCTCCCCTGGAGCTCCTGCCTCACCTGCAGGACCTTTCTCACCAGATTCTTCTGCCTCCCCTGCAGCGCCTTCCTCCCCTGAAAGTTCTTTCTCACCTGTAGCTCCTGCCTTTCCCGTAGGTGGTCCTTTCACACTTGCATCCCCTGTCAACCCAGCATCACCTGCAGCTCCTGTTTCACTTGCAGGTCCTTTCTCACCTGCAGCTCCTGCTTCACCTGCAGCTCCTGCCTCACCTGCCTCACGTGTAGCTCCTTCCTCCCCTGCATCACCTGCCTGCTCTGCATCTCCTGCCTCACCAGCAAGCCCTTTCTCACCTGATTCTCCTGCCTCCCCTGCCCCACCTGCACCTCCTGCAGCTCCTTCCACACCTGCTGATAGTTCCTCAACCGAACCTCCTGGTACGTATGGTATTCCATTCTCACCTGTGGCATCCTGACCCGTGCCTCCTCCCTCACCTGTAGCCCCTGTCTCACCCACAGCCCCTGCCACTGCTTGGCCCTGGGGCTGAGCAGGGAAATCGGGGCTGTCCTGTAACTCAGCATCGGGGGCCTGGGGCAGGAAGATCACAGTCCACGGACCCCCATGGCCTGGTATCTGTCGGGGGATCAAGCTTCGGTTTAAATATTCAGCAAACTCCACCAAAGCGACTCTGGCCCCGAGTTCCTTTCTGAACATCTTGCCCAGCACTCGGTACCTGCCCACGGGCCACAGGGCAGCCTGCACCGCCTCCTGGAATGCATCTTCCGGGCAGTCTTCAGGGATGCCCAGGATGAGCAGTGAGCGCTGCTCATTGGCGCCCATCCACCTGCACCAGTCCTGCAGCATAGCCCGCGCCATGGCGGTGCACTTGGGGGAAGGGGGCATGATCGGACAAGGTTGTGAGCTGACTGTCGCAGTCTCTGTGGTGCCCTGTGGGTGCAAAGAGGGAAAAGGGATGTTGGTACCAGACAGCCCAGTCGTGTCCCCCACCGTTGTCCTCTACACTGCGGGGGCCAGAAGCTCCCCCACCTCCTTACTTTGTTTGGTTTTAAGGATGGGTTTAAATAACAAATTAGATGCAGTACTAGTCCTACATTCTACTTTACCTAGTGGCAGTTTAGTAAGTTGCTTTTGGCCCCGCCCCCAAGGAATTCCCAAGTTTCTAAGTTTTCAAAATTTTTGTATAAATTTGTACTTAATATTTCTTCATTATTTCTTCATGTGTCTATGACCTTCATAATTACTCCCCCCTTGCTTCCTGAAAGTGGAGATCAGTGCTTGTTCTCTTTTGTCTTGATCAGTGCTGTTAGAGTTGATCAATATTGTTACTCTTTGAAAAAGAACCAACATCTGTGTGTTAGCTGTCTTGTGGTCTTCTGTCACCGATTACCTCTTATGCGTATAGTTTCTTCCTTTGCCTCTTTTTGGATTTACTTTTGTTCCTGTTTTTCTAGCTTCTTTAGGTGCACGCTTAGGTCATTGATCCTGTTACTCCTTCTTCTTTCCTAATACGAGCATTTAAAGCCGTACCTTTTCCCGATTGGTCCCTTTCTGCTTTAGTCGCCTCCCCCTAATTTTATTTAAGTTGTAATATTTCATTATTGTGTCCAAAAGATTTTCTAGGCTCCTTTATGGTTTCTTCTTTGACTTACGGGATTGCAAATATTTAGACCTGTTATCCTTGTTGATCTCTTATTGATGCAAACAGATTATCCCTGCGTTCAGAGAACTGAAGTAAAAGTGCAATCCTTTTATATTCATGACAAAGAAACTTAAGACGGAATCTCCCAATATTGCCCAGGCTGACCTGGAACTCCTGGGCTCCAGCTGTCTTCCTGCCTCAGCCTCCTGAGTAGCTGGGACTCCAGGCGCTCACCACAGCGAAAGGCTTCTGAAGACGTTCTGCAGTGTGGTATATCTAAGTAAATGTGCAACATGCCCCGTAATTAATCTGTATGTCCTTGAGAGGCCACGGTCCTGTCCGCTCCCACCACTGCCACCCACACAGACACCCACAGGGACACTGGAACGCAAGGGCAGAGGGCCAAGGCCCACCAGCTCACCTCCCCCCACACCACTTCAAGCTGTAGCAGCTGAGAGTCTGTGGTCACCACGGCAGCCCAGGCAGCCACATGGCCTCCCCTTCTTTCTGCAGGGATCCCACTCCCACTCAGCCAGCGACTCTGTCTCCCAGCCCTTACCCCTGCTGACGTCCAGGGCCGTCCCCTCCCTCCCGCTTGCCTGCCCACCAAGTTTTCCCGATTCAGCACGGAAGACAAAAGAACAGTAGAAATGCAGGATATCAGTTAATGCCTCTCAATCCTAACCCTAAATGTAAACGTCCCCAACTCTCCAGTCAAAAGACACTGATTGTCGGATTGGATCAAAAAGCAAGAGCCAATAATCTGTTCCTTATAAGAAACACATCTCACAACCAAAGACACACACAAAGTAAAAGTGAAAGGATGGAAGAAGTTATACCAGGCATATGGAACTTGAGGGACAGCAGGAAGAGCTATTGTCATGTCGAACGAAGTAGATTTTAAGCAAGAATCGGCCACAAGAGCTGAAGAAGGTCAGTACGCACGAACGATAGGAACAATCCAGCAAGAAGATACAGCGATTCTAAATATATATGCACCAAACGTCAGTGCACCCAAGTTCATAAAACAAACACTTCCGAGCACAAAGGAACAGATAGGTCCAGATACAATAGTAGTGGGAGATCGCAACACCCCAGTCTCACCAACAGACAGAACATCCAGACACCAAATTGACCAAGACAGCCTGGAACTAAAAAATACCACTGATGAAATGGACTTAGTAGACATCTATAGAATATTCCATCCTATAGCAGCATTTTTCTCGGCAACCCATGGGACTTTCTCAAAAATAGATCACATCTCAGGCCATAAAGCGAATCGCAACAAATACAAAAAAGTCGAGTAATCCCTGTGTCCTAACAGGCCATAATGGAATAAAATTAAAAATCAATAGCCAGGAAAACTACAAAAACCATTCACACTCATGGACATTGAACAACATGATGTTGATCAATGGGTCACCAAAGAAATTGAGAAATTCCTAGATTCAAGTGAAACAAAAACACAACTTAGCAGAACTTGTGGGACACAGCAAAGACAGTGTCAAGAAGAAAGTTTCATGTCATGAGTTGCCACATCTGAAAACCAGATAGATCTCAAATAGACATTCTGAGGTTGCACCTGAAACTTAGAAAACAACAACAAGCCATTCCCCAAAAGT